CACAGATATCTATAGACAGGGCTTGTAAGCACTTAGGAAATGGTTTGTCACTGGGCTTGATTAGGCTCATTGGGAATAAATATCAGACAAAGTATTTTTGGATTTTAGGTAAGGTTTTGATGTAGCCTTAGGACATCCCCTGACCACCTGGTGATGTTAGCATATTTATAACCACTTAAAGATTCCACCCTCAACCCTAGACTTATGGAAGGGCTCTGCTCTTGTCTTTGTTCTGTTCATGATTTGAATTCGTGTTTCAGGGCTCTGCTGATGGTGGTGCTGGCGGAGAATAGGCCAAGAAGAACAGGCCAAGAGCTGCATAGACTGAAACAGGGGACCAACTCTGGAAAGGTGGATTTTACCAGGGAAAAGTGAGAAACTGCATTTGGGACTAGAAGAGTTAACTGTGCAGATGCAGTTTAGGGCTTGTGGCTCAGTAGCAACATGGGTGAGAAGAACTCTTAATTTTTTTTTGCGGATTGCAAGATCCATATACATCAGCAGGAGGATGTAGCTTCTAGAAGAATTAGTGTGGGTATAGGCATTGACAGACACTCAATGGGTTCTAGGGATGTGATACTCCAGGTTCCCTGAGCCTAATGCTGGGACACCTCAAACTCCTACAGGCAGAAGAGATGACTCCCACCTCTGAGTTTTTCAGTTCTGGAAAATTTCATTTCTTTTGTAATTTTCTCCCCTCTATTTTTCTGTTCTTCTTTTCTGGAACTCATTATGTGTCAGATTTTGGAATTCTGGAGTTGATCTGATTTTTTCACCTTTCCCCCTGCTATTATCCATTTCTTTATCTTTCTATTTTCTGAATGATTTCTTCTAAACTTATATTGAGTTTTTAAATTTCATTATTTATAATTTTCATTTCCAAGAGTTCTTTTTCCCCTCTGAATGTTCATTTAAAAAAATGGCATCTGATCTCATCTGATCTGCTTTGAATCTACTAATACCTCTTTCCAATTCCATATTCCAAAAGTGTTTTTACATATATTAACTGCTTTTTTGTTTTGTTTTTGTTTTTGTCCTCTTCTTTTTGTTCTTGATGGTTCATACTATTTACAAAATCCCTTTACTCTTATTTCAGGGGCTTTGGGAGGAAGCAGAGTTTAATCCACCTTATTTAACTGAAAGTTTATTCTTTAATTTAACATATTCTTTTATTTGTTTTTTTAATCCTCACCCAGGTGTGAAAATATTTTTGCCATTTATTTTTAAAGAAAGAGTGAAGGGGGGGGGGGCGCGGGGGAGAGAGGAACATCGATGTTTCACAGTGATTGGTTGCCTCCTACATGCGCCCTGACGGGGAACAGGAATCAGACCTGTAAACCAGGTATGTGCCCTTGACTGGAATCGAACTTGCCAACCTCTGATGTATAGGCCAACACTCTAACCACTGAGAAATACCAGCAAGGGCTATCCTTTTGTTTTAAATGTGCCTTTTTAGGCACATTTTGATGTGATTGATGGATTTTAAAACATCTAATATGAGAGTCTGAATTTTGATCAGGGAATTTAACCCATTATATATTTACTATAATTATGATTATACTAGAGGCCCGGTGCACAAAAATTTGTGCACTCGGGGGGAACGGGGGTCCCTCAGCCTGGCCTGTGCCCTCTCGCAGTCTGGGACCCCTCGAGAGATAACGCCCTGCTGGCTTAGGCCTACTCCCGGGTGGCAGAGGGTAGGCCCAATCCCTAGTGCAGCCCCTGGTCGGGCTCAGAGCAGGGCCAATCGGGGAGTTGGGGCGCCGCCCCCAGTCAAGCAGAGAGTAGGGTGGATTGGGAGGTTGGGATGCCACCCTCAGTCACGCTCAGGGTAGGGCCGATTGGGGGTTTGGGCACCGCCCCCTGTCACACTCAAGGA